GTATAAAAATGATGTGCGCGGCGCTAATGCGAAAGCCACAGTTTGAAAAGGAACCGCCCTCAAGCCGTGAAATTCTTGCATTTCTTAAACCAATGTGCGTCGCGCTAAGGCGAGAGCCACATTTTGAAAAGGATCCGCCTTCATTCCGTGAAACTCTTGCAATGTTTAAAACGAGTGAGCGCCGCGCTAAAGCGATAACTACATTTTGAAAACCTCCCGCCTTCAATCCGTGAAACTCTTGCAATGTTCAAAGCGAGCGTGCGCCGAGCTAAAGCGATAACTACATTGTGAAAACCTCCCGCCTTCAATCCGTGGAACCCTTGCCATTTTTCCAAACGAATGGACGCGGCGCTAAGGCGAGAGCCACATTTTGAAAACGGCCCGCCCTCCATGTGCGAAACTGTTGCCAACTTTTTAGCTTCAGAATCATAAATGGTGAGGAAGTCTCAGGCGAAACGCCAGGCCCCCCCCTAAAAATTTGCCTCGGGGTGCGACAGGGAGTACTTACTTATAAGAAGAAGGAATGGAGGAGGAGGAGAAGGAGGAGGAGCAGTGCAAACTCAAGACGCATCAGCGATGCTGCAGTAAACCCTCACTCCACATTCCCGTTTCACGGGTCGTGGCCCATGAAAAAGCAACCGCTCGAGAATCCTCGACGTGCCAAAACACTGCGAAACAACATTACGGCTGCGTCTTCACAATCCTGGACCTTGCCAGAACACCTTTTCCTGGGACTTTGACCATTGACCATACGAATCTTTGCAACGGTTGCAGTTCTTCCCAACCCTCCTTGGTTGGGTATTCGTTTTGAATAGAGCACTGCGGTCGCGTCCTCCTCCTCCCGCCTGCCGCCTCCCGCCTCATGCCTCCCGACCCCCTGATGTTAGTCTCCTATTGCCTTGTCTGGGGGGCCGCGATCTGCGAAACTGTCGCCACGTTCGATGGCTGCTGGTGGGTCCAGCGGAGTGGGGCACCGCGCAGACCTGAGGTAGATCTCGCCGTCCCTGGGGGGGACTGCGATCTGCGAAACTGTCGCCACGTTCGATGGCTGCTGGTGGGTCCAGCGGAGCGAGGCACCGCGCAGACCTGAGGTAGACCCCGCCGTCCCTGGGGGGGACTGCGATCTGCGAAACCGTCGCCACTTTCGAGGGCTGCTGGTGGGTCCAGCAGAGTGAGGCACCGCGCAGACCTGAGGTCCGCGATCTCCGAAACTGTTGCCACTTTCGAGGGCTGCTGGTGGGTCCAGCGGAGCGAGGCACCGCGCAGAACTGAGGTAGACCTCGCCGTCCCTGGGGGGGGGGGTCCGCGATCTGCGAAACTGTCGCCACTTTCGAGGGCTGGTGGTGGGTCCAGCAGAGTGAGGCACCGCGCAGACCTGAGGTAGCCCCCGCCGTTCCTTGGGGGCTGCGATCTGCGAAACTATCGCCACTTTCGAAGGCTGCTGGTGGGCTTGCCACTTTCGAAGGCTGCTGGTGGATCCAGCGGAGTGAGGCACCGCGCGGACCTGAGCGGGACCTCGCCGTCCCTGGGCGGCCATGTCATGTTGTTGCTGCCCCGCCGACGTCTCAAGCCCCTTGCCCATATTATCCTTTTTCACCTTGCGTCTTCCTTAGTGACTAAGAGGTTCGCTTAGTTACCCATCGTTTTTCCCTTGATAGGGGACCTGCGAACCTTCCGAATGCCGCTCGCATTTTTTTTGGAGGGAGAAGATGGGAGCGGACCGCAAGATTCAAGAACCACCGTCGTAACGCGAATGCCGGTTGCATTTGAAAGCCGTTTTCTTCCTCACCATGTGTGTGGAAACGGACGCAGGAAACGACAATGCAGATAACACAAGATACGAATTCGCTGGAAAACGTATCACCCTCGTGCCAGAGAGCTGGCAGCAGTGCAGAGATGATGACAAAAACCTGCAATAGCCCCGGACTCGGGCAGGAGAGGGGAGGAGGGAGGAGGAGGCAAGGAAAGGAGGAGAGAGGAGGAAAAGGAGGAGCAAGATGGGAAAACCATCCAACAACCAAAAACTCGCGCGTGCGTACACCGACATGGGTAGGCAGCTCGCAAATACACACATATATATATATATATGTATGTGTATATATATATATAAATATATGCGTTATTGTCACGTCGACGCCTTCTCGTCAAATCTCCCAAACTACTCCTGCCCCGCATTGCGCAGGGGTTGGGTACGTCGCCCGGGTAATTTCAAAACGAATGTGCGCGGCGCGGAAGCAAGACCCATATGTTGAAACAGGGCCGCTCTCCATCCTGGACTGTGTTGCAAACTTTTAAAAGCGAGTGTGCGCGGCGCAAAAGCGAGAACTATATGTTTAAAATGAACCGCCCTCCATCCTTGAATCTGTTGTAATCTTTAAAATCTGCGCGACCTCCATCCGTGAAGCTGCTGCTAATTTCAGCAACTCCAAGGTAAGAAATGGTGAGGAAATCTATGGCGAAACGCCGGGCGTGCCCTACCGACATGTCTGGGGGTGCGAGTGGAACCAGTTATTGATGAGGGACAAGGATAGAGAAGGGAGGGCGGGAGGGAGGGAGGAAGGGAGGGAAGGAGAAGGATGAGGAGGAGGGCGAGGGAGCAGGAAGGCAGAGGGAGGTTTGGAGAGGAGGGGAAAGCAGGGGTAGACAGGAAGGGAAAAGCGACGACGATTGAGGAGAAAGTGTAGGGGTCTTGGTGACGATGACGGAAATCAGGAGGAGGAGGAGGAAAAAGAGGAAGAGGAGGAAGAGGATGGGGTGAGGGAGTGAAGGAGGAGGAGGAAGAGGAAGAGGCGGGAAGATGAGGGAGGGAGGAGGGAGGATTGGGGAGGAAGATGGGGAGGAAGAGGGAGGGCGGGACAAGCGACGACGACGGAGGAGGAATTGTATGGGTGGTGGTGGCGATGACGGAAATCATGAGGAGGAGGAGGAGGAGAAGGAGGAGGAGGAGGACCACTGTAAACCCAAGACGTATAAACGATGTTGCAATAAACTCCCCCTCCAAGTTCCAACGTCATAGACCCCAGCAAGAATGTATTTTCATAGCGGGAAGTGCCCCATTGGAAGGCAAACCTAATCTTACCAGAACACCATTCCTGGCGTTTTCAAGCCGCGGGGCCACATGCCTGTTGCGTCCTGGCAATCCTGAACCGTGCCGTAGCACCATTCCTGGGGCCCCGAGGCTGCGAAGCCACGTGATTGCCGCGCCCTGGCAATCCCAAATGGCGCCGGGACACAATTCCTGGGACTTCACCCGTACCAGCCGTGTAATCTTGTGTAAACCTTAAAAGGCGGATGGACGCGGCGCTAAGGCGAGAACCTCCTTTTGGAAAGGAACCGCTCTCCATCCTGAAACGGTTGCAGAATTCTAAGGCGAATGTGCGTGGCGCTGGAGCGAAAACAACATGAAAAGGAGCCGCCCTCCATTATTGAAGCTGTTGCGAACTATTAAAACGAATGTGCGCGGCGCTAAATCGAGAGCCACATTTTGAAAAGGAGCCACCCTCCATCCTTGAAGTCCCTGCAAACTTTTACCACGACTGTGCGCGGCGCTATGGCGAGAGCCACATATTGGAAAGGAACTGCCCTCTATATCCTTAGAGCTACTGCAGAACTTTTGCGACGAGTATGCGCGGCGCCAATGCGAGAGCCACATTCTGAAAAGGACCCACCCTCCATCCTTGAAGCCGCTGCAAACTGTTAGCACGAATATGCGCAGCGCTATGGCGAAACATGCATGTTGGAAACCACCTGCCATCCGTCCTTGAAGCTGTTACACTTTTCAGTCTTCAAGGTCATAAGTTTTAAAGACAATTCATGCGAAGCGCCTGGCCCGCCCGACCGACACTTCTGGGGGTGCGACGGGGAAGAGCTATCTAGAAGGGAAAGGGGTGGATGAGGAGGAGGAGAAGGAGGAGGAGGATGTGAAGGACAACGAGACGGAGGAAGAGAAGAGGAGGAGGAGGAGGAGGAGATGAGATGAGAAGGAGGAGGAGGAGGAGGAGGAGGAGGAGGAGGAGCAGGACGAGGAAGAGGGCGAGGACGAGGACGACGACGAGGAGCCGACAGCGCCGACGCCGACGACGCCCCCGACGCTGCCGCTGACGACGACGCGGAGCACCGAGGCGGGGTCGACGCCCCATGCCTCTGAAGGAACAGCAACGGCCGAACACACACAAACTTTCGAGGGCCCGCGCGGATTTCTTGGACCCCCCCCCCCTCAGTGGCGCGCGGAGCGCCGCACGGGGCAGCGCTGGAGGGGCCGCCAGGCTGGACGCAGGTCCAAGCGATCCGCGCGGATCTCTCTGGAAGTTGTGTGTGCTTGCGGCCTGTTGTCCTCCCTGGCTGCGCACGAGAGTCGCCCCACTCCAAGGTGACCTCTGGTGCGCGGCTCGCCCATCGCTTGGTGCGATCTGGCAGCAACGGCGTGCGCGCGTGGGTCTGCGCGTTGCGATACCTGCGCCCACCGAGTGCCTCGCACCAAAAGGTCACTCTGGCGAAGGGCCATTCAGCTTTCGGGGCATACCTCGGGTCTCTGGCGGCCGTTCGGGGCACCCCTGGAACGCTCTCTGCGGGGCGCAGCTCGGAAAATCTCCAGGAGCCAAATCAGACGCCCGAAGTTTATCCAGCCGCGCATCCCGAGACAATGCCGTTTTCAGGAGCTGGCGAACGCGCCCGAAAACGTTCAGCCGCGCAACGAAGGCTGAGCATCGTTAGCCGATCCTCATCCCCACTGGCGTGGCCTTGGCCCCACTGGCCGACTTACTCACCTGGGTGGGGGACGTATGCCTGTTCCTTCGGGTTTCGTGGTGGGTTGGTGGGGATGGGATACTAGTACCATGACCAAATGGGGACACGGTGAAGGCATTGGATATGGAACTCTTGGATAAAACAACCCAAGGTCTGGAAGTCGGTGGAACATCAACGGAAGCTTAGCCATGGATTCCACCGCCGCCCTGATCAACCACGGAATCATCCAAGGCCTGTCGCCTTCTTTGTACATTCCGTGACAAACGCCCCACCGTAGGCTAGACGATGCTGAACGGCTACTCTCACGTGCAGCCGATCCTGGTGCCTCGCAGCAGCGAAGCACGGGCTCTGGGCCCAGCTCGACGCCCGCCGCCGCGCTGCCGCCGCAAATCTCGACCACTGGGAGGAACGTGTCGGCGGGCAGGCCTGGAGAGGTTGCGGTCGCCGCCGCCGCCGATGCCGTCGTCGTCGTTGCCGTGCCGTCGCCGTCGTCATCGTCGCTGTCGCCGCCGCTGCCGCTGCATCTGCCGCCGCCGTCGCCGTCGTCGTCGGACCCGTATGACCAAGATTTCATCATAATCTCTTCTCGCAGCACCCCCGAGGACCATCCTGGCAAGCTGGTCGACCTGCGCCCAGAGTAGAACGCCTAAAAACACCCCCGATCGCGTCCAAAACGCAAGCGTCGACGTCGAAATCGCCGCCATCGTCATCGTCGTCGTCGCCGCCACCACCGCCACCGCCGTCGACGCCGTTGGCCTGGGCGCTCCATGAACGCGTCCACGCTGGACCAGCCGCCACCCGTGAATGTCGTCATCGACGTCGTCGTCGCCCTCGTCGTCGTAACCGCCGTCGCCGTCGCCGTTGCCGTCGATGCCGTCGCCGTCGTCATAGACGTCGTTGTCGTTGTCGTCGTCGTCGTCGTCGTCGTCGTCGTCGTCGCCGACACCGCGGTCGCCGTCGCCATTGTCGCCGCCATCGCAGCCATCGCCGCCGCCACCGCCGTCGTCGTCGCCGCTGCCGCCGCCGCGGCCGCCGCCGTCGTCATCGTCGTCGTGGTCGTCGTCGTCGGCGTCGTCGCCACCGTCGTCGTCAATCGTCGTCGTCGTCGTCGTCGTCGTCGTCGTCGTCGTCGTCGTCGCCGCCCCGTCGTTGTAGTCGGCTTCGTCGCCGTTTTAAGCCAGCGGCGCACAGGGTCCGCAGGCGCGAGCAGCAGATGGAAGTGCTAATTGCGACCGGGTGTTGCCGATACCGCAGCGTACATGTGTCGCACATTGCAACATGCAAGCCATGGGTGGGTTAAGGGAGCTGTAAGCCCCGAAGCACATGCAGTGACCAGGAAACGGGGTGAATGCCAAACTCACAGCGAACTGAAACGCGACGGCCAGAGGCTAATTGTGTCCACTGAATCACCAGACCGGTGTTTAACAGTGAAGCGCAAAAATAAACGCTGCTAGGCAAATTGGTGTTGTGGACAAACCAGCGGTCCAGCGAAACATATTTGTAGAGTGGTGCCCCAGGACCCGCACCGCAATCCAACCCCAATAGTGAGTGGGGTACCCAGCGACGCGCGACAACGCCAACCGCAGCGATAATATATATATATATATATATATATATATATATATATATATATTATTTGATTCGCGGGTCGAGAGCGCACCTCTTCCGGTCGAAGCTAAGCGGGCCGCGCGAAGCTTGAATTAACCAGAGATGGGGGAGGAAAAGGGGGGCGCAGCCTCAGAGCGAGGCCGGGAGGAGGCAAAGCCTCGGAATCAGGCGGTGCCGTAGCCGACGTGCTTGCAAAGGAGCGCCTTTTCCATGAACCCGGTGGCGGAGTACCGGTCGAAGCAAATTGCTGTGGTTGGTGCTGCCGTCAACGGCCCATCATTTACACTAGCCTCGAGTTGGCGGCGAGAGGTGACGCGCCTTGCAACCAAGCTGCGTCAGGGATCAGGGAGAGCGAGGAGAGCGACGCTGAGACGAAATGCGACGTTGTGCCATCGTACAGGTAGCAAGACCGAGTGCCACAGGGCGGAGGTGGTCCATGGTGCCACAGGTCCAAGGAGCATGAGCCGCAGAGACTTGAGGCGCCACGAACATGCCGCCTGTGACGACCGACAGGGTGCGGGTGCACTGGAGCAGGAGGTGGAACGGATCCGGTCCTGCAGGGGAGCCGCAGCGAAACAAAGAGGCTGTCATCACCCGCGCCCGGAATTTCAACACACGCAAATGGCGCGTGAACTAAAATTTTGTTCGCACAACCTGCCAGCAAACATAACACTGTCGCATCCCAGCGCCTGTAAGCCGCGGCCGCCGAAGCCGTCGTCATCGTCGTCATCGTCGTCGGCGCCGTCACCGCCGTCGCAGCTGCCGCCGTCGCCGTAGCCGCCGCCGTCGCCGTCGTCATAGACGTCGTCGTCGTCGTCGTCGTCATAGACGTCGTCGTTGTCGTCGTCGACGTCGTCGTCGTCGTCGTCGTCTTCGCCGCCGCCGCCGTCGCCGTGGCCGTGGCCAGGGTGGGCTTCCAGCTGCTGGCCGTCGTGCTCGTGCCGCCGCCACTGGGGCGAGTCGTCGAAGTCCTGGTGGCCGTGGTGGGCTTCCAGCTGCTGGCCGTCGTGGTCGCGCCGCTGGTGCTGAGGCGCGTCGTCGAGCTCGTCTGGGTGACCGTGGTGGGCCTCCAGCCGCTGGCCGTCGTGGTCGTGCCACTGGTGCTGGAGCAAGTTGTCGCACTCCTGGTGGCCGTGGTGGGCTTCCAGCTGCTGGCATTCGCGCTCGTGCCGCCAGTGTTGGAGCAGGCCGTCGAACTCCCTGTGGCCGTGGTGGGCATCCATTTGTTGGCCGTCGTGGTCGTGCCGCCGGCGCCGGAGCGGGTGGGCCTCCAGCTGCTGGCCGTCGTCCTCGTGCTGCAGGTGCCGGAGCGAATCGTCGAACTCCTAGTGACCGTGGTGGGCCTCCAGCTGCTGGCCGTCGTGGTCGTGCTGCCTGTGCCAGAGCGAGTCGTCGAAGTCTCTGTGTCCGTGGTGGGCTTCAAAGTGCTGGCCGTCGTGGTCGTGCTTCCGGTGCTGGAGCGAGTCGTCGATCTCATGCTGACCGTGGTGGTCTTCGAGCTGCTGGCCACCGTGCTCGTGCCGCCTGTACCGGAGCGAGTCGTCGAACTCACGGTGCAGCCGTGGTGGGTTTCCTGCTGCCAGCCGTCGTGATCCTGCCGCAGGTGCAGGAGCGAGTCGTCGAAGTTTTAGTGGCCTTGGTGGGCTTCCAGCTGCTGGCCGTCGTGGTCGTGCTGCCTGTGCCAGAGCCAGTCGTCGAACTCGTCGTGGCCATGGTGGGCGTCCAGCTGTTGGTCGTCGTTGTCGTCTGCGGCGGTCGTCGGCGAGGTTCGGGGGTGGGGTGGCGGGAGAGGGAAGTGTTGGAAGGGGCTGGAGATGGAGGGCCGGCCGCCCCTAATGCGGGAGCGGGCGAATGAAGTACAGGTGCGCTAGCACACGTTGGCAGCTTAGCACGGGGGGGAAGTTGCAAGATGAATTGAAAGATCGTTGGCGGTGCCGAAGGATGTATAGCACGTTTTGGTACCGAATCAGCGGGGATTGCAATCTGGATTGGAATATCGTTGGCACTGCAGCTGGTTCCAGGGGGGGCTGGGGCGAGGGCAGAGCATGGGGGGACAGGGGTGCCAGGGCGGCTCCAGCACGTGAGAGACAGGGGAACCAGAGACAGGCTGAATTATGATCAGGCGATTCTGACCCGACCCTGAAGAGAAAAATACATCATGTTTCGTTAGCGGGGCCCGCTCAGAGCCGGCCTGCTTGGCCGCCTGGTCCGGGAGGGCGCGGGTTGCCGCCAGAGCGTCGCAAATCGTGCTCCGGACCTCCACCTCGATCGCAGGGTCGCTGATGAGGGCTGGGACGGGCGGCGCTGGAAGCGTCCCGTGAACTGGTTCCTCATCGGCCCCTCCTGCGTTGACATCGTTCTTGCTGTGGGGGCTGCCCGGCGTGCATGCGGACTCCGCCAGGGTCGGCCCACTGTCATCGGCCACCAGCAGCGCGCCGCGGGCGTACGTGCCTGCCCCCTCGGAGGCGGCTGCCGAGATGCGGACGACGCCGCTCTGGTAGCCGAGATGCCCGCAGAAGACGTCGGCGCCGTGCTTCGCCCCCGCGAACTCGTGGGCGCTGACTGGGTGGTACGAGCCGTCATTCAGCACGAGCGGGGTTCCCCAGGTCGCACCCTCGTCCTTGGACGCCCCTGGGTCGTCGTGGGCGGCCTCACCCTCGCCAGCGCGCCTGCGCCGCCTGAGGCTCTGCGGCGGCGGCTGGCGCGCCGCCGTCCTGCGAGGTGAGGCCGTCGCCGCCGAGCGAGGAGGAGGAGGAGGAGGAGGAGGAGGAGGAAGAGGAGGAGGAGGAGGAGGAGGAGGAAGAGGAGGAGGAGGAGGAGGTCTGCCGCGCCGGCCCGCAGAGCGAAAGCCGCCAGGAACACGGCGGAGCGGGTGGCCTGGCGCGGCGAGGGCATCGCGGCGGGTGGCCCGGGCGCGGCGGACCCTCGTGGCACTTGAGCCCCTTGAGCCGTCGCGTCGTCGTCCCCGCCGTCGCTGCCGCCGCCGCCACCATCGCCGTCGTCGCCGTCGTCGTCGTCGTCGCCGTCGTCGTCGTCGTCGTCGTCGTCGTCGTCGTCGTCGTCGTCGTCGTGGCCGACGCCGCCGTCGCCATCACAACCGTCGCCGCCACGGTCGTAGCCGTTGTTGTTGTTGTTGTTGTTGTTGTTGTTGTCGCCGTCGTCGGCGTCGCTATCGTTATCGTTATCGTCATCGTCGTCGTCGTCGTCGTCGTCGTGGTCGTCGTGGGTGTCACCACCCGCGTCGCCGCCGCCGTCGCTGTCGCCGCCGCCGCAGCCGCCGTCGCCGTCGCCGTCGCCGTCGTCGTCGTCGTCGTCGCCGTCGCCGCCGTCGCCGCCGTCGTCGTCGTGCACGCCGTCGTCGTCGTGCACACCGTCGTCGTCGTCGCCGTCGTCGCTGTCGTCGTTGTCGTCGCGGCCACCGCGGCCACCGCGGCCGACGTCGTCGTCGTCGTCGTCGTCGTCGTCAAAGTCGTCGTGAACGTAGTCGTCGTCATCGCCGTCGCCGCCACCACGGTCGCCGTCGCCGTCGCCGTCGCCGTCGTCGTCGTCGTCGTCGTCGCCGTCGCCGCCGTCGTCGTCGTCGTCGTCGTCGTCGTCGTGGACACCGTCGTCGTCGTCGCCGTCGTCGTTGTCTTCGTTGTCGTGGTCGTCGTCGCGGCCACCGCGGCGGACGTCGTCGTCGTCGTCGTCGTCGTCGTCGTCGTCGTCGTCGTCGTCGTCGTCAACGTTGTCGTCGTCGACGTCGTCGTCGTAGTCGTCGTCGTCGTCGTCGTCGTCGTCGTCGTCGTCGTCAACGTAGTCGTCGTCATCGCCGTCGCCGCCTCCACCGTCGCAGGCGCCGCTGCCGCCGTCGTCGTCGTCGTCGCCGTCGTCGTCGATGTCGTAGTCGTCTTCGGCGTCGTCGTCGCCTTCGGCGTCGTTTCCACCGCCGTCGCCGTTGTCGTTGTCGCGGCCGTCCACGCCGCCGCCCCCATCGTCGTCGTCATCGTCGGCGCCGCCGTTGTCGTCCCCACCATCGCCGTCGTCGTCGCCGTCGTCGTCGACATCGTCGTCGTCGTCGTCGACGTCGTCGTCGTGCTCACCGCCACCGCCATTGCCGTCGTCGTCGAAGCCGCCGTCGCCGCCGTCGCCGTCGGCGTCGTCGTCGTCGTCAACGTGGTGGTTGTCGTCGTCGACGTCGTCGTCGCCGCCGTCGCCGCCGCTGCTGTCGTCGGCGTCGCCGCCGCCGCCTTCGTCGTCGTCGTGTCGTCGCCACCACCTCCGTCGTCGTCGTCGCTGCCGTCGCTGCCACCGTCGCTGTCGCCGTCGACGCCACCGCCGCCGTCGCCGTCGCCGCCGCCATCGTTGTCGTCGCCGTCATTGTCGTCGGTGTCGTCGTCGTCGTCGTCACCGCCGGCACCGTCGTCGTCGTCGCCGTCGAGGCCGCCGCCGCCGCGGTTGTCGTCGTCGTCGTCGTCGTCGTCGCCGGCGTCATCGTTGTCGGCGGCCGACACAGCATTCTTCACCATCTGTCTACGCACCCTGTCTGGGGTCAATTCTGGCCAGCTGGTCGGGCTGCGCCCAGACGAGAGCGCCCAGAAACATATTGAAAACTGTACGAAACGAAGACGCCGACGCCAAACCCGACGCCGTCGTCATCGTCGTCGACGCTGCCGGCCTACGCGCTCCAAAAACGCTTCCACACCAAAGCGGCCGCCACCCGCAAGCGCCGTCGCCGCCGTCGTCGTCGTCGCCGCCGCCGTCGCCGTCGGCGTGGCCGCCGCCGCCGTCGTCGTCGTCGCTGTCGCCGCCGTCGCCGTCGTCATCGCCGTCATCGTCGCTGCCGCCGCCACCGTAGTCGTCGTCGCCGTCGTCGTCGTCGTCGTGGTCGTCGTCGTCGTCGTCGTCGTCGTCGTGGCCATCGTCGTCGTTGTCGTCGTCGTGGCCGTCGTCGTCGTCGTCGTCGTCGTCGTCGTCGAGTCGTCGTCGTCGTCGACGTCGTCCTCGTCGCCGCCGCCGCGCCGCCGCCTCTGTCGCCACCGCCATTGTCGTCGTTGTCGTCGTCGTCATCGCCTTCGGCATCGTCGTCGCGGCCGCCGCCGCCGCTGTCGCCGCCGCCATCGTCGTCGTCGTCGTCGTCGTCGACGTCGTCGTCGTCGTCGCCGCCGCCGCGCCGCCGCCGCTGTCGCCACCGCCACCGCCATCGTCGTCGTGGTCGTCGTCTTCGGCGTCATCGTCACGGCCGCCGCCGCCGCCGCTGTCGCCGCCGCCATCGTCGTCGTCGTCGTTGGCGTCGGCGTCTTCGTCGGCGTCCGACACAGAATTCTTCACCATCTGTCCATTGGCCAGCTGGTCCATGCTGGCCAGCTGGTCCAGCTGCGCCCAGCCGAGAGCGCCCAGAAACATCCCCAAAAACGTCCGAAACCAAGACGCCGACGCCGAACTCGACGCCATCGTCGTCGGCGTCCTCGTCGTCGTCGTCGTCTTCGTTGTCGTCGTGGTTGTCGTCGCTGTCGTCGTCGTCGCCGTCGTCGCGGTCATCGTCGTCGTCGTCGTCGTCGCTGTCGTCGTCGCCAACGTCGGCGTCCTCGTCGTCGCCGTCGTTGCCGCCGTCGAAGTCGCCGCTGTCGCCGCTGTCCCGCTGTCGCCGCCGCCATCGTCGTCGCCGTCGCCGTCGTCATCGTCGTCGTCGTCGTCGCCGTCGTTGCCGCCGTCGAATCCGCCGCTGGTGCCGCCGCCACCGTCGTCGTTGTCGTCGTCGTGAGTGTCGTCGTCGTCGTCGTCGTCGCCATCGTCGTCGTCGTCGCCGTGGCCGTCGTCGTCGGTATCGTCGTCGTCGTCGTCGTCGGCGTCGCTGTCGTCGTCGCCGCCGCAATCGTCGTCGTCGTCGTCGCCGTCGTTGCCGTCGCCACCGTCGTCGTCGTCGTTCGCGTCGTCGTCGTCGTCGTCGTCGTCGTCGTCGTCGTCGTGGTCGTCGTCGTCGGTATCGTCGTCGTCGTTGTCGTCGTCGTCGGCGTCGCCGTCGTCGTCGCCGCCGTCGTCGTCGTCGTCGTCGTCGACGTCGTCGTCGTCGTCGTGGCCGTCGTCGTCGTCGTCACCGTCGTTGAAGCCGTCGCCGCCGCCGCTGTCGCCGCCGCCATGGTCGTCGGTGTCGTCGTCGTCAGCGTCCTCGTCGTCGTCGTCGTCGTCGTCGTCGCCGCCGTCGTTGTCGCCGTGGTCGTCGTCGTCGTCGTCGTCGGTATCGTCGTCGTCGTCGTCGTCGTCGCCGTCGCCGCCGTCGTCGATGCCGCTGGCCTGCGCGCTCCAGGAGCGCGTCCACGCTGGAGCGGCCGCCCCCCGCGAGCGCCCCTAGGAAGACGCCCCGTTTTCGCAACGACAGGAGACGGTCGCCGTCGCCCGGCTGCAGGGAGGGCTTCTCCTGAGGCGAGGCCAGGACAGGGAGAGGTGGAGGAGGAGCGAGGGGGGACGAGGAGAGATGAGGAGGCGGAGGAGGAGGAGGAAGCGGAGGAGGAAGAGGAGGAGGAGGGGGAGGATGAGGGTGAGGATGAGGATGAGGAGGAGGAGGAGGAGGACCAGTGTAAACCCAAGAGCCATCAATGATGTTGGAATAAACCCTCCCTCCAAGCTCCCTCTTCATAGGCTCCTACAACGACTAATTTTCACTGAGGGAACTGCCTCGTCGGAAGGCAACAATTTGAATATTCTGAAACCTGCCAAAACATTGTTCTCGGGATCCCAACGGTCAGGGCCAACCTGAGTGTTGCATGTTGACGAACCTGAATCGTGCCAGAACGCCATCCCTATGACTTCAACACCGCGAATCAACATAACTGTTGCGCCCGCATAATCCTGAATATTTCCACAAAGTCATTTCTGGTACGTTGACCATGGGAATCCGCTAATTTCTTGTAAATTGTGTAAACGAATAGGCACCGCGCTGGAACGGTAGCTACATTTTGAAAACGGACGACCTCAATCCGTGAAGCTCTTGCGAATTTGTAAAACGAATGCACGCGGCGCTAAGGCGAGAACCACAATTTGAACACCACCTGCCCTCAACCCGTGAAGCTCTTGCAACATGTTTAACGAAAATGCGCGGCGGTAAAACGAGAACCACATGATGAAAACGGGTCGCCCTCAATCCGTGAAGTTCTGGCAGTTCTTTGAATCGAATGTGCGCGGCGCTACGGCGAGAACCACATGTTGAAAACCACCCGCCCTCAATCCGTGAAGCTCTTGCAAAGCGAATGTGCGCGGCGCTACGGCGAGAACCACATTTTGGAAACCACCCGCCCTCAATCCGTGAAGCTCTTGCAAATATTGAAAAATGAATGCGCGCGACGCTAAGGCGAGAACCTTCTTGCACATGCGTAGAACGATTGTGCGCAGCGCTGAAGCGAGAGCCGCAGTTTGGAAACCACCCGCCCTCCATCTGCGAAGCCGTTGTCAATGTTTAAGCTTCAGGGTCATAAATGATGAAATCTCAGGCGAAACAGTTGGCCCGCCCTAAAAACTGGCCCCGGGGTGCGACAGGGAGAAACTATTTTGAAGAGCGAAGAATTGAGGAGGAGGGGGACGGGGAGGAGGAGGGGGCCGCTATTCGCAAAGTGCCCACTCGCACTCGCAAATGGCCTGGATTCGCAACGGGAGATTCACGATACATTACATCGATGCAGACATGTTGTTTTTTTTCTGACGTTTGCGTGTAGGCACTTTGCGATTCGTGAAACGCGCTCGGTGACCTTCCCCCCTGGGGGTGGCCTTCCGTGCCCGATCCGTTTTCGATGGCCCTGGCCCCTGCCGGCGCTTTTCGGCCCCTGCCGGCGGCCAGGAGCAAATCGGGGCCCGCATTGCGCCGCATCCTCATTTCCCGGACACCCCGCGGCCCTGGAGCTCGGGGATCTGTCGCCGCGCCTTTAGTTCTGAACGCGCTGCAGTAGACGAAGCCAGCACCGCGGCAAGCCTCACTGCAAACCTTGCGTCAGAAGCGAACTTGCCATGGTGGCCGCGGCGCCCTCCCCAAGACCGAAGGCCGCGCGTCGGAACAACCGGCGCAGCGACATCTGCTGACCCGGGCCAATCCAAACCCGGGCCAGTCGGGCTCTGCAGGACCCTGCAAGGCTCTGCAGCATCCGAGGGTCGATGCAACCCTGGCTCGGCAGGCTCCTGCAAGATCCAGCGCTCCGGCTGACCCCCGTCTTAGCCGTTTTTGGCCCTGGGTGCTCACAGGCCCCAAGACCGGCGCCCCGAAGAGGCGCCCCCGCAGGTAGTTCCGCGGGCAGGGCGTGCAATTCAGCCTAGACGTTGCATTGGGAAAACCAGAGCGCTCCGGCTGACCCCCGTCTGTAAGGCGCCCGGGGAGCTCCCGACCCCTTGCCCCCGGGGGTGGCCTCCCGTGCCGCTCCGTCTTCCATGGCCCCGGCCCTGGGGCCGACCGCCGGCCCCGGAGAGAAGCCGATCGATCGAGGGAAGCACGCCGGGATGCCGGAGATCTGGGTCGCCGACGCAGCCAGGTGGCGACATCCGAACCCTACAGTCGGGGCGTTGACCTAAGAAACCCCAAAGAAGGAACGAGGCCCCTTCTTTCCAGAAGTTGAACTTCGATCTCCCATCGAAAACAGAAGGAAAACCTGAGGCAAGCTGTGAAACACTCAAAGAACACGGAGCCCCTTCCCAACGAAAAGGGCTCCTTCTTCAGCGACCTGACTGTACCCCCCACCGACCATCCACCCTCCGGAATCGATGGGAGGCGGGGGCAGCGCTCGGAGCTCGCCGCAGGTCTGACGCCCTCCGAGCCCTATATAAGGCCCTCGCCCCCCGCCGACCATCCACCCTCCGGAATCGATGGGAGGCGGGGGCGGGGCTCGGAGCTCGCCGCAGCTCTGACGCCCTCCGAGCCCTATATAAGGCCCTCGCCGCCCATCGAGTGGTCCGACCGTCGATCGGGCGAGTGGGCCACGACTCGGGCCTCCGGCGGCCGTGCGGCACGGTGCGGGCGCCCCCGGGAACGCCCTCGGCGAGGCGCCAGCCGCTGGCAGGCACCCCGAGGCGGGCGAGCCGCCGAGAGCCAACGGAAACGCCGAGAACCTCGAATCGTTGATCGGCGAAGGCAGGGTTCGGATTTCGCCTGGAACCCCGAACCTCGAATCGTTGATCGGCGAGGGCAGGGTTCGGATTTCGCCGCCGCCAGCGCATCGACGATCGGGAGCGATCCTTCGGTCCACCGCTTGGGCGGCCGGGATCTGTGCGCCGCCGCCGATCCTCGGCCGCGGCCGCGCACGTGCTGTCCAGCGCGAGGACGACTCCTCGGAAGCCGCGGGGCGCGACCAGGTGGCACCGGATTCGGATGGCGGGGACCTTGTCTACACGGAGGCAAATTCCCCAAACATCCGAGTCTCCGAACGAAAAGAAGAAGAAGAAATAAAGAAAGAAGAAGAGGAACAACAAACGGCATAAACATAAACTGTTGGCACTTCGCGCGGATTTTCTGGATCTGCGCTGGACCCCCCCTCCCTGGCGCGCGGAGCGCGCCATGGGCGGCGCCAGAGGCGCCGCCAGAAGGGCCCAGCGCGGATCCAAGAAATCCGCGCGGAGCGCCAACAGTTTATGCTTATGCCTTTTTTGTTGAGCAGAAGGGAGGGAGCTGCCAATTTTTGGAGCCAATGTCGGCCTCCAGGGGCCCTTCACGGGCCTCTGGACCGTCAGAAAACGGCTCAAGACCAAAATCGGCCCTAGAGTTAGGTCGGGCATGTCCTCCTACAGGCCGATTTTGGAAGAAAAATGAGAAATTACAAAAAAATCAAACAAATAGTCGAGTTGAAAAATCGTACCCGGATTATCTTTGGACTATTTTTGAAAATTCCTCCTGTGGAGGGACATGCCCGACTTAACCCTAGGGACGTGGTCCAGACCTCTGGGGTCCAAGCATCGAAAAAGTTGATCGCCGGATGTCTGGGAACGGGCGAGACCAGTCAGCATGGAATCGAGAAATCGCATTGGGTCGGAGCGTGCGTCAGAGCGGGCCGCATCGGGCACGGAGTCGGAGTCGGAGCGGGTCGGCTGCGCCACGATGCGTACCTGCACAGTGCAAGCATCGGGTCTCCATCGGATCGCTGGGAAATCGAAACTGATGCGGATCAAGCCAGGTGAACTCGGCATCGGATCGGATCGTGAGGGGAGCGGGTCCTGGACCTCGGAGCCTTCCCCCAAGACCAGCTCTTCGTCCTGAGTCGTTCTGTGTTGGTCCCGGGG